CTCGTCAAAAAAAAAGTTTCCCATACACGTACTTGATTCCGATCGTTCAGTTTGTATGGCAGCTATATACTATAGTGATCCAATCTGAAAAATTTCCTCGGAGATTACAGTTTTGCCTTAGAAAATAACTCATGCCAAATTTCGTAAACATATCTCGTCAAATGATAAAATTTTCCATGCAAGCACTTGATTCCGATCGTTCAGTTTGTATAGCAGCTATATACTATAGGGTTCCGATCTATAAAATTTCTTTGGAGATTACAGTTTTGCATTAGAAAATAACTCATGCCAAACTTCGTGGACACCTCGTCAAATAAAAAAGTTTCCCATACAATTACTTATTTCCGATTGTTCAGTTTGTATTGCAGCTATATGCTATAGTGGTCCGATATCGGGCGTTCCGACAAATGAGCAGCTTCTTCAGAGGGACTAGTTTGTATATATACAGACAGACGGACAAACGGACATGACTAAATCAGAGAACTTAAAACAACGAGAAGGTGCAGGTTCGATAGCGAACAATTTGTAGGATTTTATCAAGGAGTTCCCCTCACATGCACGAGAAACAAATAACATTTCTCGCTTTTATAACAGCGGTTAATCTGTAAACATACACTCTCTTAACATAACCAAACGGCGCATATTGAAGAGAATATATGTATATGTATGCCAAACTGGGAATATTGATATGCTATTTGAAACATATTCCCTTTTATTGAACTATTATTTATTATTATTTTTAAATTATTTTTTGTTAATTCATTTTTACTTTCTTGTGAGTTATTAATAATAATTTAAACACATTTTGATATACTTCGTAAAATAATTCAAGTGCTTGACACCATTATGGAGTCATAAAAGTACAGAAATGTGTTTTGCCGTCGGCATTTTCATATCATGTGTAAAAATATTTGTAAATTTGTCTACAAACAACATATGTATGTAGATATGAACACTCATTACTTCATGTGAAATCTCCGTTGACACGGTCAACCAATGATCGAAGCTCACGTTCTTCGCTTTTATGTCAAAGAGTCAATCTGTCGAAGGACTGACGCGACGACAAAGCGTCACAACATTGTGTTGTTGGTAGAAAATCCGAGATGTGCCGAAAAATAACCGAACGCTCGCCGATTGTCATCGCTTCCCTTGCCGCTCTAACAGCTTTGCCCACAAAACATTGTAGGTATGTATGTTTTTATATGAACATGCATACATATTGACGAAGATTTTTGCGAGCCACGGAAAAATATTTTAGAATTGTGAAATATTTTAAATCGACAAAAGCTTTGTTGCCACTTTTGTCATTGATTTCTGTGTTTTCTGTGTTTACAGGGTTATCACTTTTCCCTTCTAGAGGGAACATCAAAGAGATGTTCAATTTATGATTTCTAGCTTTTGCCATCGTCGCGAAAAGACGCTTGTGGGCAAACGCATGCTCGGGGAGATGTGTAAGTCGTTTGCTTTTATGAATGAAACGACTTAAGTAGCTTATTGATTGTGCGCCAGCGTTCATGAATGAAAATGTTGTTGGTGTGTGATTTACTACAAATTTAGGATTTGTCAATTTGGCTGCCATATTGATTTCTGGTGCTAATGCTATTTGAGACAATTGTTGTTTTTGTACAACAATGTTTGTACTTTGCCTATTGGCTGACGTACTTACATTTGTACGCTTAAATGTAGGTAGATTTGTGTATGCATTACTTATTTTGCGCGGTCATACGCATATTTGTACATACATACTTACATATAGAGCAGTGCCCTCACATGTTTTTATTGATAATTGATAATATATTATTACAAGTATATTATATAATATAACATATTGATGTACATATGTACATACATAAATTATTAATTCTGTAACAACTGAAATTAAAAAATTATGAAAATAGAAATGATATTTTAATTTCTTGCATAATCTGTCACATTTTATCAATGTAGCATTTGTGCAAAAAAATCATATTTTATCAATTTTTCATCATAAAAATCGTTTATATGGCAAAAAATAATCATGCATATGTAAAGTGGCATTTGTATTTTTTGTTTTCTCATTCATTTCATTTCATTTTTCTCTTTATGTTGGGAGTTACGTAATTTGTCAGAGAACGCTGTTATAAATTCTCATTTCTGTTAAATAACAGAAAATATTACAGAAAATGGTGAACTCCTTGATCTCAAATTTTCAACCAACCAATCGAGCATCATACAAAATTCAATTTGCACCTTCTCGTTCTTTTACGTTCTCTGGCTAAATCAACTCAGCTCATCATACTGCTCATTTATGTATATATTTTATAGGGTCTCCGACGTTTCCTTCTGGGTGTTGCAGGGTATAATGAGCAGAACCGAATAAAATAGCCGAACAATAACGAAAAGGACAATGTCTAACTATTGACATGGTCCAGTACAGCATAACATGTGGTTAGGTATGTAACCAGGTGCTCTTAGCATAGTCCGTTTGGATCACGTGGTCCTTAAATTTTTGTAATAATGATTCTGCGTTGGAAAAGGGACAGCATATAAACTTTTTTTTATGACCATCAAAGACGTGTGCCTTCTAAAAAAAATGAAATACTTTGGGATCAGCAAAGAATTATGGAATGCTTCCAATCAGAAGAAGCAAATCCGTTTCCATTTGTGGTTGGTTGCATGGATGCAATTAGCCATTATGATTGTAAACGAAATTTCTCCATAACTATGCAGAAAAAATATTGTATAAGTATACCCTATTACAATATACAATTTTAGATTTATTTTTCTAACTGGAAACTGTCACGACGTTAACGCCTGGCAAAATAGCTCAATTTAGCAAACGATTACCTCGGGAAAATTCAGTTTGCGACCAGGGCCGTAGTATTAGCAGATTCGGTTTATCCGCCATGAAATATTTGATGGTCCCGTATAGGGATAATGGGAGTCTTTCACCGGAAGAGAAAAAGTTTAACTAATACCTTAGTTCCACATATGCCATAGCTGTGATGAACCTTCAGAGGATACGGATGTTCATTTCTACCAATATAAAAACCGTACTGATACAATTGGTGTTGCCGAAAACATTAACGAAAGTAATGAAGGTATTATAAGAAGAAATTAAATAAAAATGTTATTAATAAATATTAATTTTATTAAAAACTAAATAGGATTACAAAAAAAATATATATTAAATTTTTTGTTGAACAATTACATTCAAGTTTGTACTAGTTTGCAAAAATAATTTAAACGTAATTCATACATTTCAGTTCACTGTTGGATTTCTCGCAAAGCACTTAAAACACTTATTTTTTCCTTCTCTATTTCTAACTTCTCTGTAACTTTCTAGTTTTACTAGTTTTTATGGCGTTTTTCCCTTGATTGGCCTGTGACTTAAAAATGCTTATGTCTCGTTTTGCGATTTTTTGGAGCGTTTGCTCTTCCAACGCAACTGTTTGAGCCACCGCAATCCGAGTATTCGCTAGTGGGACTTATCGGTGAAGACAGCAATTTCTCCAATGGACGTTCAATTGAGTGGCGATTCCCATGAACCGCATTGAAATCGTCGAAATACCCCCAGTTGGTGCCATCTCTTCCTCCTTGAGTTATTTTTTTTTTATCCTCTTGTATGAGGTAAACATATTTAAAAACTATCCCTGAATCACCTTTTGAGTCCTTTGCTTCGGGATTCACGGCTTTTAAGAGTCCAGGACTTTTCCCCAAAGGCTTTTTATTTTGCCGGCAGCAAATTCGGCCGCCATGTCGAGCCGACAACGTATCAAGAGCTTTGTTATGGAAGTCGATCTTTCACTGCAAATAAATTTAAAAAAATAACTTACAAATTTGTATATGTATATAAATTGATAAAATGTGAAATAAATCAGATACAAATTTTGTGTGGCTGCTTGCAAAAAGTGACAGTAGAACGTGATGCTGTTGCCAGAAATTCACGCAGAGCGTGATACTTTGACAAATTTGCAACACTGCGGTCGATATTGCCATCTCCGAATTCAGGAGGAAATCAAGGCAATACTTCCCCTAGTACCCATATACCTAATTAACGGACTTTCAAACATCATAAAATTCAGATAGCATCTACTTCTGGTAATGATATGTCTAACACCAAAACTAAATAAAATCGGGCCAAATATACCCATATTAGGATTTCCCATCCTTTGATGGTTGTTTTCCTCATATACGCCATATGCCAAATTTAGCCATTTTGAGTTTATATAACATACTAAATTTCATTTGAGTTATAAGGTTGATATGAGTATTAATATTTTGGACATGCAAATGAGTCTACGACCTATAATATATCGGGTTTTCCAATAGGGTTGATACGATGTCTAAGTGTCGTTTCTGCCATTTTTATCATGTGATATTTTTTAATGTATTTAATAATGTTTACAATTTCATTTTGGAAAGATTTACGAAAGAACGACATTAACAAACTATTATTTTCATTATCAAATTAATTGTTCTTCAATTGAAAATTTTTGTGGTTTTTGTTTAAGGAAAATCACCTTCTCTGATGAGGCTCACTTTTATCTGAGTGGTGCGGAAAATAAACAAAACTGTCGATACTGGTGCGAAGAAAATCCACAAATTATTCATGAACAACCATTACATTCACCTAAATTGTGGTTTTTAGTCTGGTGGAATCTTCGGTCCGTACTTTTTTTGAAATGAAGCTGTTGATACCGTTACTGTCAATGGAGAGTGGTACAGATCGATAATATCCAATTTTTTTTTGAATCATATCACTCTTATTGGAAAACTCTTTAAATACATAGATTAATAAGATACCAAATTTGATTGTAATCCATTCGGCTTTTTTAAGTATTATTCATACTGACGATAACCTCATGGGTTAGCATATGGTAAAACGGGTTTCACTAAGAAATTTGAAACTGTTACTCAAATTCCAAATTTACTTATACTTTGTATAAATAATATAGGGTACTAAATATGGTCAAACACTTAATTAATTTATCTTATTGACAGCAGAATAAGTAATGTTACAATTTATTCGTCTTAATTATAGAGCTCGAATGTCTTGCAATACATCGGACTACAACTGTCAAGATGATGTTTTTACAGCAACCACAAACGGACGACTGGGATCAGCGTCTATTTTATCATCGTCGTTAGAAAATCAGCCATATTTTAACACTTTAAGTCAACAGATGCAACGCCAACACCAATCAGTGCGAAATTTAGTCCAACTCAATCAAAAATCAGTTTGCATGTCGAATGGACTCTTTGACTGTAACGAAGAAGCATTTAATTGTGACGAAAGAAATGAGAGTAAGGAACGACTAATCGCAGCATCTACTCAAACTCAATACTATGAAAATGAGACCATTAATAAGTGCGATACCTTTTCTTCAGCTATCAAAATTGATTCTAGTGGAGAAGCCTTGGCTACTACAGTCTCTTCAGGTCATATGATGTACACAGTACATCGAGTAGTTACAACATCTCAAATTCAAACTGCACTTGGGAATACTTATGCTTCTTCTTCTAGTGTTTCAAGCGTTGTCAGTGCTCTTCGAAACGATAATTTGACAACTCCTGCGAGCATATCTACAAGTTTGACAACTGTACCTGGAAACGGTGTTGTAGGAATTTCAGGAAATATTTTGAGCAAAATGGATGAAAATTCGAACACAGCCAACAGTCTTCTGATAAGCGCGGCGGGTATATCAGATTCGCAACAATCTGAAGGTAAGACTGTACTAACATTAATGAAAACTTAACAATACTGGTTAAATGAGTTTTCCATCTTGTGGTATTTAACATCACTACAAATACACATCACTTTACCTGGCTTGTAGTATAAGAGCGCCAGTTTGCTCGCTTATACTACTCCCCACACTCAACTCCCACCATACTCGACCACACCACACAGGATCACCATAGAAGATACCACCACACACGATGACAGCCACACCATAAACTAACAAAAAGGCCGGGATCAACGCCCCCACCTCATTCTGATTATTCAGCGATCCTGAGCGCTACGTCAACTTATATCGATATGACCATAATTCACCGGGCTACATTCGATTAAACTACGGTTACCTCGCTTAATTTGAAAACCGTCTCATCCACCTTTTATTTATTTTCACTGTCATTGTTAAGCATGTATTAGAGAACAGTTCTGCAAAATTACGTGCTCTCAGCTTTGTAATTAAAGGCAGGCGACCGGAAAAGAAAATATCTGTAATAATATATGGGTGATATATGTTATAGTAGTTGTCCGATCTGACCGTTTCCGACAAATGATCAATAGAATCTCAAAATGAACCTATGTATTAAACTTCATTTAGATATATCAAAAACTGTCGAAGGAATTTTTGTGATCCCAAAAAATTAAACTTATTCTCAAAAATCGCTGGCTTGTAACCGGTTTTAGACTCATATTCTCTTAGGCAAAGTTGTTCAGAATGATCCGTAGAACATATTCCGCATGCGATACTTTTCCGTTTTTTTAGCTCCCTGTAAACTAACACGCACTAATATACATATATTATACCCTAAAAAGTGAGCGTCTCAATTTCATTACCTAAATTTAGTATACAAGTATTCACATGTGTATGTAAATATTACAGTTTTATATATTACAATATAAACCCTGTAATAACAAATTACAACATAAAAAACAAAAAGGGGAGAAAAAAACAAAACAAACATACATATATAACTATATGCATATGTTATTTACTTAACACATACATATTATATCTATACTATTATATCTATACATTTTAATATATATATTAACCAAAACATATTTAGAAAATGCATAATAAGCATATACAATACAACAAACTTACACACATAAAAATATACAAAACTACATAAGGAAAATACCTGCACATTAACAATTCTGTTTTCGCGCTCTCCTTCTATTGCAAAAATATAGACGCGCAATTTATACATACATACGGCATAGAATCTGCCTATCTATATACACAAGGTTGGGTAATATTAAACTATTAAATTTCAAACATTTTACTAAAAAGGTAAGTGCAAAATTAGAGAAGGACTAAACGGTGCTAAATTTATTTTTTATTAAAAAACAAACATACAAAAAATCCATATACAATTGTACTTATACATTATTATCCCGCCATACCCCTTATAAAAATGTTTATCTACTATCTTGTGGAATACCACCGAGATATTAACACTGGACATTAAATCGAGTGAATAATTTAAATAAAAAGTGACGTATGTCGTATACCGATACAAAAAAAATTGCAAAATTGCCGCATTCGAGATGAAGAGACCGATGGACTTAACGGATGGACTATCTGAGACGTAGCCGCTGTCAACATTTGAAAGAAGTAATCTTCAAAACATAGATGCCAAAGAATGTTCTTTCGAATAATAATAAAAAAAATAAAACCCTACATATAGGTATATACAATATCTAACTAACATAAATTATAATCCTTTGTTTTTATAAATAATTAAATATAAAAGAGAAGAGTTTGAAACAAAATTTAATCGTGTAGCGCGCAGAATCGTTGAAACTCGGCGTGGGCGGAACGATGTCGATCGAATTACCTTTCGAATTGTGATGTGCCGAATTGTACAATATATAAAGAATTCAATAACAGTCGCTATCTTATCGAATGAGGTGAATCTGCTCTGGGGACCAAACTTGTTGTTGCTTGGTCGTGTGGTGATATCTTGCCGAGTGTGGTGGTGTTCTTAAGGTGGTGTGTTGCACCAAAGGGCGCCAGTTTTACTAAGTAGAGTGGTCTATAAGTACGAGGTTTAGCTCATTTAAACACCCTTTGTAACAAAAGAGAGTGATTGCGTACAATCATTAAAGCACAAACGATTCGTGCATACATACTCGTAGGTACAAAGTGAATTGATCGATTCAACGTGCTGTCAATTGTACAAGAACATATGTACAAGTTAATACATACATACAAGTAGACGTATTAGGCTATACTTAAATATATACCCAAATATAAAGACATAAAAAGTATTATTAAAGGAAAAGTGCGGTCCTATATATATTATATAATTAAATAAAGACAAAAATTACAACTGGGACAAAAAGTAAAAATATTATATAAATAATAAAGGGTGTTTCTTTTTAGAGGTATAGAACTTTAAATTGCAATAAAACAACGATGGATTATTCAATTGACATGAATTTAATTTATCCGAAAGATAAGCTTGTGGCATTACATTTTAAATATGATTTCTATAGTAAATCTAGCGGTGTTAAATCACAAGATCTTGGAGGCCAATTCATAGGTCCAAAACATGAAATTAGGCAGTCACCAAACGTGTCTTTCAATAAATCGATTGTGGCACGAGCTTTGTGACGTGGCGCCATCTTGTTGGAACCACAGCTCCTGGACATCATGGTTGTTCAATTCAGGAATTGAAAAAGTTAGTAATCATGGCTCTATACCGATCACCATCGACTGTAACGTTCTGGCCATCATCGTTTTTGAAGAAGTACGGACCAATGATTCCACCAGCCCATAAAGCGCACAAAACAGTCAGTTTTTCTGGATGTAACGGTGTTTAGGCTTATACACTTGAGGATTAGCCTCACTCCAAATGCGGCAGTTTTGTTTGTTGAGTTATTTTTAAACACACCACACCTGTGAACACTCAAGGAATATGACCACACACGGCGACACCACCCCACTCAACCTCTGAGAACAACACGCACGAAGACACCTAACAAAAAGGACGGGATCATCGCTAAATCTACATTCGCTTATTGGACAGCTTGAGCGTCATAATATTCGTTTTACGTTTTCAATTACATCAGTTCCTGCGCGCTACCGCGTCAATTCGATATGACCCGCACTGCGTTCGATTTCATAAACAAATAAATATAATTTATTATATATTTAATTTCGTTAATGTAAAATATATTGCTATTATATTACGGAATAAACCAAAATTATTGATATACCGGGACACTTACTATTATTTTATATTGAATCTTGTGTTAGTATTGGATCTGTGGTGTGTGTTCCCACGCAAATTGTGTGTAGAATTATTCATGGTCCTTCGAGCCTAAACGAAAGGCACTATAATTTTACGTACTAGAACCAAAGAGTGCAGTGGAGTTAAAACAAAGAAAGTGCAGTGACTCGAAAGATATATATACACACACATACATATATGTAGCTAAAATAAAAATTACAGTAAAATTACCAAAAATAAGTAAAATCTAAAAAAGAGAAAAAGAACTAAAGAAGAGCTAGAACAAAAAGTTGAAAACAAATTCAAAAATAACAAACCTACCATTACATGTTACATACATACAAAACAAACAAAAACCCACACAAATGTGCGCGGAACCTAAAAAAAAAAAACAATAAACTAAAAACATATATAAATTGGGCGCGAAACTACCATAAAACAAAAACACATATTCGGGCGCGAACAAATTTAGCAACAAAAATACAAACAATAAACACTACAGGCAAAACCAGCTGGAAGGAGAGGAGAAACAAAATTGGCGATATATGTTACGTCCTCCGTAAACGCCCCTTGAGGAAAAACTAAGTGAGCGTAGCCGTTCCTTTTTTCTTAATTTATAAAAATAATTTACATATGTATGTAAAAAATAAATTTTTATATACAATACGTAATTCAAAATCGATTTTACTAACATTATAAAACGGTACCAGACTGTTATAATTTTCGGGTGAATTGACAGTTTTTTGAATGTAAATATCAAAAGTATACAATATATAATATATTATATATAAATATATACATATACAGAAGAAAATAAGTAAGGAAGGGCTAAGTTCGGATGTAACCGAACATTTTATACTCTCGCACAGTTAAATGGTATACTCGTTTGAGATTTGTTTGTGGATTGACTGATATTTTCGGTAGAAGGTCAACTATAGGCACTGGGGTCCACATATTTAGTACTTAGGGGCTTGAACAGTTTTGGTCCGATTTAGACAATTTTTGGTCACAGGGTGGCATACTTTAAACGTATTATTCACGCAAAGTGTTAAACCGATATAATCATTGTTGCTTGATATGCATAGTGGAAAGTGAAAGAATCAGATGGAATTGAAAATGTATATGGGAAATAAGCGTGGTTGTAGTCCGATTTCGCCCATTTTCGCACTATAATATAGAAATATGAAAATAACGTTATGCACCGAATTTGGTTGAAATAGGTTGAGCACATCCCAAGATATGGGTTTTCACCTAAAAGTGGGCGATGCCAGGCCCAATGACTAATTTTGAACGCGGTTCCTATAAAGTCATCTCATACTATCCCAAGGATAAAATTTAATGTCTCTGGCGTGTTTAGTGCTTGATTTATCGCGCTTATAGTAGTTTTTAACAGTACCGTTATATAGGGAGTGGGCGGAGTTGCCACCCGATTTCACCCACTGTAGGTAGAGGTTCTAAAAACATTAGCTTCCAGTGAATTTTGTTATTATAGCATTAGCGGTTTAGGAGATATGCACATTAAACCTATTAGGGGCGGGACCACGCCCACTTAAAAAAAATGGTAACTGCAGATGCCCCTCCCTATTGTGATCCTGTATGCCAAATAAAATTCTTGTATCTTGTTGTGGAGCTTAGTTATGGCAATTTATTTGTTTTTGAATAATGGCGTTTTGTGGGCGTGACAGTGGTCCGATTACGCCCATCTGCAATACCAACGGTACCAAGAAACATGTCTACCAAGTTTCATAAAGATATCTCAATTTTTACTCAAGTTACAGCTTGCACGGACGGACGGACAGACAGTCACCCGGATTTCAACTCGTCTCTTCATCCTGATCATTTATATATATATAACCCTATATCTAACTCGATTAGTTTTAGGTGATACAAACAACCGTTAGGTGAACAAAACTATTAACTCTGAAGCAACATGTTGCGAGAGTATAAATATAACAAGTAAGGAAGGGCTAAGTTCGGATGTAACCGAACATTTTATACTCTCGCAAAGTCAAATAGTATACTCGTTTGAGATTTCTTTGTGGATTGACTGATATTTTCGGTAGAAGGTCAACTATAGGCAATGGGGTCCACATATTTAGTACTTAGGGGCTTAAACAGTTTTGGTTCGATTTAGATAATTTTTGGCCACAAGGTGGCATACTTTAATCGCATTATTCACGCAAAGTTTTATCCCGATACAGTCATTGTTGCCTGATTTGCATAGTGGAAAGTGAAAGAATCAGATGGAATTTAAAATGGTGTTATATGGGCAATAGGCGTGGTTGTAGTCCGATTTCGCCCATTTTCGCACTATGACATAGAAACATGAAAAAAACGTTACGCACTGAATTTGGTTGAAATCGGTTGAACAGATCTCAAGATATGGGTTTTCACCTAAAAGTGGGCTGTGCCACACCCACTGACTAATTTTGAACGCGGTTCCTATAAAGCCGATATATACCATCTCAGAGAAAAAATTTAATGTCTCTGGCGTGTTTAGTGCTTGATTTATCACGCTTTTAGTAGTTTTGAACAGTACCGTTATATAGGGAGTGGGCGGAGTTGCCACCCGATTTCAACTATTTTCACACTGTCAATAGAAGTGCTAAAGACATTTGCTTCCAGTGAATTTTGTTAATATAGCATTAGCAGTTTAGGAGATATGCACATTAAACCTATTAGAGGCGGGACCACGCCCACTTTTTAAAAAAAAGTTTTAACTGCAGATGCCCCTTTCTAGTGTGATCCTGTGTACCAAATAGCAGTCTTGTATCTTAT